AAAGTCCCGATTTTTGGAAAGAATGCATGAACAGGCTGGAGAACGAGAAGGGAATATACGGTTTTTGGCTGCCATGTGGCTATTTCACTAGAATATGAGTTTTATATTATTTTTGTTAATTTTATAATGTTAAACTGTAATAACAAATAATTGCTGAGAAGTGATTATTGAGAACTGCTTATCAAAGTTTGCATTGTTGTCAGGCCCTGCCCTGCCCCGTCCCCTGCTCCGCCCCCCGGCCATGTTATCCCACCTTACAGATGTTAAAATCTGATCACCCTACTTTACAGGCCTTTTTCCTGGGGTCTTTTCTGGCTTCAGCCAGGCCCTCAGGGGCTTTAAGGGACACCAAGAGCCAGATGACATCTGAGCAAGATGATCTGCAGCTGAGGGGTGGACCCTCGGGCCATTCATCAGCAGGAGTTCCTTGTGAAAGAGCCGGAGCCTTCAGCATGCAGTCATTTGTTAATTACTCCCCTGTATTATTCTGCCTCAATAAAAGGCTGGTGCAGAGGTTGCTCGGGGCTACTCTGCAAGTAAGGGCTAGCTCATCTTCCACAAGCTTGTACTTCTAATCCGCCTCTTGCCTGGTTCCTTCCTGTAGTAACCAAGACCAGGGCCATAGGGGCCCTACAGGTAGTGACAACGGTCCTTTTCCCTGAAGCTCTCCCTGACTTCAGCCAGGCCCTTAGGATCCTTTTCCCTGAAGTTCTCCCTGACTTCAGCCAGGCCTTTGCAGGCCTTTTTCCTGAAGTCCTTTGATATTCGTGCCAAGCTGTCTCATGAAGCCCTTAGTATAATATGCTTTTTATAGAGGCTCATGTCCTCACCCATTATCCTGCATACCTGATCCTGATCACAAAACTTTTCATACAATCATTTCATCATTATATTAGTCTAACTCTATTCCATAATTCTAACTTCTCTATTATTCACCCAGTGGAATTTTTAGGGTTTTCTAGATACATGATTGTATCATCAACAAATGGGGATATTTTGACCTCCTCTTTCCTAATTTGGATGTCCTTTATTTCTTTCTCTTGCCTGATTGCCTTGGCTAAAACTTCTAATACTATGTTGAATAGAAATGATGACAGTGGGCACCCTTGTCTTGTTTCTGTTCTTCAAGGAAATGTTTCAACTTTTCCCCATTCAGTATGATGTTGACTGGGTTTGTCATATATGGCTTTTATAATATTGAGGTATGTTCCTTCTATGTCTAGTTTGTTGAGGGCTTTTATTATAAAGATGTGCTAAATTTTATCAAATATATTTTCTGCATCTATTGAGATGGATGGTCTTTGTTTTTTATTCTACTTATGTGGTGAATCACATTTATTGATTTTTGTAAACCTCTTCACAGATTAAGTTGCATAAAAATTATCTAATCTTTGAAGTTATTGTAAAATCCTCTAATAAATTTTCTGGGGCTTTATCCTTAAAAAAAAAATTCCTTCATAAATGTTTCCACTCATATGGAGATAGATATGAATATACTTTCTGTCTTTATTGGTGTCAGTTTTGGTTTCCTAGAAAATTGTCTATGTCATTTAAGTTTTCAAAAATATTTGCATCCTTATTTGTGCTTTATGAAGACAACCTTCTGTATTACTTTGTGAGGGAGATTTATACCTATTATAACTTCATTGTGAATTGTGAGCTTTTCCTTTGTAAAGTATCCTTACCTATTCTTATCTATTTCATTTGAATTCATTATGAATTGATATGAATCCAACTATGTCTAAAATTACAAATGCTGATTTATGGCTATTTGGCAAAACAGTCTACTACAGTCATGTTAATTTCCTCTGTTTTATTGATAATGTCCTCTGCATCATTACTTCATGTTATTCATTTATGTTTTTGTTTCTCCCATTTTTCTTAACTGAATTAGCTAGTGGTTTCTTTATCTTGTTAATATTTTTTTTCTGAAGAGCTAGTCAGCATTTTTACTATTTTTATTTCTACTACTTTCTTCCTTGTTGATAATTTCCATATTAATCTTCAACATTTCCTTTGCTTTGCTTTATTTTAATTTACTCTTTTTCTTTTCCTTTTCTAAATTCTTAAGTTTGGCATTTGGTTCGATTTTTCAGCCTTAATTGTGTTAAATACTTAAAACCATTAATTGTCCTCAGATTACTGCTTTTGTTATATCTCCTTTGCCTTTTTCATATATAAATTCTGTGTTTTCAGTTTGTATGTACTCTTTGTTGTTTAGCAATTGGTTTGCCTTGTGTTTAATTTGCAGGTAAAAATAACATTTTGGGAATTGTTTTTTATTTTTGTAATAGAGTTATAATTTTATTGAATTTTAATTATTGAGTGTTCATCTATTATATCTAGTTGGAACTTATCAAGTTTTTATTCACAAATGTCCTTTGGGTATTTGAGTGGAAGGTATATTTTCTGTTATTGAAATATAAAAGTTAACTTATAAAATATATCTTAGTGATTAAATTATCTGTCTTACTGATAAGTTATATAGTTATAAGTAATTATAAATTTTATTTATTTTTTATCCACTAGACCTGACTTAAATTGAGAATCCTTTTATAAAATCTAGTATTAGTGTGTTTCTGTTTGTTTCTCCTTACATTTCTAGGATATCTGAGTTAAGAATAGTCTTCTGTGTTGTTTAGTGTATAAATATTCTTTTCACATGTCGTTTATGAGTAATGGCCTTTAGCATTAAAAAGTGCCAGTCTTGGTCTCATTTTGCTTTGAGGCCTGAACTCAACTATGTTCATATCAACATTGTAACACCTAATTTATTATTTTCATTTGCCTACTAAATCTTTGTCTTTCTTTTTCTTTTTTTTTTTTTCATTTTATTTATTTTTGTTTAGACATAGTTTCATGTTGTCACCTTTGGTAGAGTGCCATAGCATCAAAGCTCAAAGCAACCTTCAGGGCTAAAGTGATCTCCCTGCCTCAACCCTCCTGAGTAGCTGGAAATACAGATGCCTGCCACAAGGCCTGGCTATTTTTAGAGATTGGGTCTCTCTCTTGCTCAGGCTGGTCTTGAACTCCTGAGTTCAGGCAATCCACCTACCTCAGCCTCCCAAAGTACCAGGATTCAGGCATGAGCCATCATGCTTGATCCCTTACCTTTATTTTTAGTTATTCTGATTCACTTTATTTAAATATGTCTTTTAGTTACTGAACAGAGTAGAATCTGTAATATGAGACAACCTGAAATTCACTTTTTTTTTAATGCAATTGCTTATTAAATTTCCTACACACAATTTTATGCTATGTATTAGTTCAGGAAGCAAATGCATAAACACTTATAATTATTTTCGTAATCATCATAATTCATGGTCTGGCTTTAGGTAACTAGAGGGAAGATTGGATAGCAAGGCAATGAGATAATATATCTCTGATTATCAATGACAGGCTGTCTTATTTGATAGAAAGAGATACACCCAGTGAGAAATATAGCAATTTTATTCACTATATTTCAATTTAACAAATGTTTTTGAACACTATTCTTGCCCTGAGAATACTATCTAAACTTTGGAAAAAGCAGTATGTCTTCTCTCCTTGCAGATTAATGGATGCTTTCCAGATAGCTGGACACTAACTGTTACACGTCTTCCACTCAGTCCATTGTCCTTGTCACTATGTCATGTTAAACTAATGAGCAAAGCTGAGGAAGCCATGCTAGCAATAACTAACATAACTAATGAATGTTTATGTACATCATGAACAAATGAATTTACTGCATTTTATCACAATACTCTCATACTTTACTTTTTTGCAATTCATTCATTTTAATGTGCCATGAACTTGAAATGAACTTGAAATGTTCTAAAATTCATTTTTATTTAGTATGTGAGATAAGCCTTTACCTAACAATTGACATGACATTTTATTTTCAACTTTTTCACTTATAATTCATGTTGTTTTTATCCCCACTATATGATGTTTTCTCAACTATATTTATTTTTAATTTATTTTGTTATTGAGGAAGGTTTTTGTTGTTATTGTTATTCTGGGGATAACATTTATACAATAATTTGGTATAATAATGTTTATAGCCTTGTTTAGGCCTCTGTTACCCTTTGATCCCAACTATTCCCTATATAATTGTTACCAGAAGACGAGGACTGATGGAGAGAAAGAGCACCCAAACATGTTTATAATAGGAAGGGCTTTCTTTCAGCTGGCAGAGCAAACTGCATAGAAGAATTCAAAATGGCCACACTCTCCAACTAGCTTTGGTGTTTCTCTCTATCTCCAGTCAAAAAATTCAAACCCACAAGTACCTTTCTCATTGGTCAGTTTAAATCAAGCAGGAGAAATTGTTCCAGCCTCCACAGAACTAAAGGATTACCCAGAAGCAGAATTTCTAGGTCCCAGGAATCTAAGTCTACAAATTCCTAAGAGCTAAGTCACCGTGGAGAGGACCCTGCAGGTGTTTCCTTGGGGTCTTCTTGAGAAGACCTCTGTTTTCCTAGACCTCACCCTTCCTGGGTATCCTGTCACAATGAGTGTTTAACTTGTTCCTTTCTCTCCTGTTTCTTCCTCCAATTTTTTAGTTGTTTTATTTTCACTTTGTCACAGTCCATAACATTTACATGCTATTTTTCCACCCACATCCCACCTTTGTTTTAATCTGAGATCAACTCTTAAGTATATTCAGTGTTCCACAGTCAATGTCCCTGATCATTTCTTGGGTTGATGAAGTTTGTTCTTTAATAGATTCCTCAGGAAAGGCTTTTAAATATAACAATCCTTAAGCTTAGTTTACATATTTGCATACTTACTATTATTTCTGTACCTGGAAAATCAAGGAGAACGTCAATAAATTTAAAATCCTTGACTTACTGTTTTTTTGCATTTCCAATAAAGTTTTTCCACTGTTGTAATGTTTGATATGTTTTAATGAGAAGTTTGAGTCAAGCTGATTTTTCTTTCCTCTAGAAGAAATTTGGTACTTTCTCTTGGATGCCCAGAGTATATTTTTTATACTTAAAACCTGAAATGGTGCACTGGTGCTCGCTTTGGTAGCATATATACTAAAATTGGAACGATATAGAGAAGATTAGCAAGGACCCTGCACAAAGATGACAGGAAAATTTGTGAAATGTTCCATATTTAAAAAAAAAAAAACAAAAAAAACTGAAATATTCTTTAGTCTGTATCTGAAAGCTGATCTTTCAATTTTTCACAAGTATATAATGGGCCTTTATAAAATATATACTTAGGTCTTGTTTATTTCTAGGAACTTTTCTTGGAACACTAGTTTTCTTAATTTCTTGAGAGACTCTAATTGTAGGTATTTTTCACTTTCTTAGATAATCTGCATTGTAAACTTTGTTCGTGTTCTTAACTATTTTAATTCTCTCTTCATATTATGCACACAGTCAAATACATTCTACCTTTGTCACCTTTAACTTTGGTGTTTACTTCTGAAATTATTTCATCTATTTAGGTTTGTGTTTCTCAACTACGTTCACTCAAGCCTTTGCCCTTCACTATCTGTAATTGCTTGTTCTAAAGACATTTAATTTCTTGCAGGAGTTTCTCTCTTCTCAGAGTCCTTGTTCTCAGGGTTTAAGGAATGAAACCACAGACCAAGCAAATAAGCAACAGGAAGAGTTTATTGGCAGGGAGAAAGTCTGATAAACATGATAAGCAAAAGAGGGTGAAGGAAGAGAGGAACAGAACCTCTGGCAGCATAGTGGGGGAATCCAAGTCTTCAGTCTTGGGGATTCAAATGCTGCTTTTTCTATCCTGTGGGCAGGGGGTCTTGGGGAAATCTGTCACAATTGACTAGAGATCTTTGGGAGAAAAAAAATTAGCATAGGAATGCAGTCCTTGCAGTTTTTGCCTCAGGCAAGGAATTAGGGTTTGTGTTACCCATGGAAGAAGGAATTGCCCAGAACCTTTCAAACTGCTTTGCTCCTGACCTTGCTAGAGCCCAGAGAATGTGGTCTGGGAAGGGTAGCAGCCTGTTTATGTATAGAGATGGGGGATATGATTTCTGAGTTCACCCAGGCCTACAGAATAGAGGGATCTCTTTCCAACCCTGATCAGAGGAACCCTGTTATAAGAGTTACCTGTATGCCAAGTGATTTTGACGCTAATATTTTTGTCTACTAAAAATACTTTGTTTTTATTATGGAACAATTTTAAATAAATAAGTACCTATATTGATATTTGCATAATGTCCTAAAATTTATATGAGTTTTTTTCTTATTTCTAACATATTAATGTTATTCTGTAGCAGGAAACTGATGCAGACAGACGACTCCAGGCACCAGTTGATTAGAGGAAGTGGGTTTATTCCAGCCAGGTGGTAACTTGGGACACCAGTGTGTCTCCAAAACTGAGCCCCCCAATTCAATCTCTTGCCTCTCTTTTATCCACTTTTCAAGGTGGGAGTGCGCATGAGGGTCGTAAAACAGAGAGAGACATGACATCATTAAGGTGACCAGATTTTAACATTGATAAAGCAGGACACCATTGGGGGGTGGCACCTGACAACAATGCAAACTTTGATAAGCAGTTCTGGATAATCAGTTCTCAACAATTATTTGTTATTATTAAAGTTTAACATTATAAAATTAACAAAAATAATATAAAATGCATATCCTGGCGAAATAGCCACATAGCCAAATACCACATATTCCCTTCCTGGTCTCCTATGTTCCCTAGCTTGTCATGCATTCTTTCCAAAAATCAGAGCTTTTTTAAAAGGCCGCAGGACATAGGACAAATTGTTAAAAATTGGGACTGTCCTGCCAAAAGTTGGACATCTGGTCACCTTACTGGGGGCTGGGGGGGGGGCGCTACTTGTTTGTTCCAGACAGTTTGGCTCTTTCTGAGCTAATTGTCCTTGCCTAGAAGCAAGAGAGGGAGCCAGTCTCCTTCTGATACCTTGCCCAGGAGGGGGGTAGGGAGTTTACATTAGCCTTTTCATTTCCAAATGAAGTTACATTAACTTCTTTATTCCCAAATGGAGTTACATTAACCTCTTCATTCCCAAATGGAGTTACATTAACCTTTTCAGCAGCCAAAAACCCGAAAACCCGTATATTCCCTTCCCATTCTCCCGCTGTTCCCTAGCTTGTCCTGCATTCTCTGCATTCTTTCCAAAAATCGAGACTTTTGTAAAATGCTGCAGGATGCAGGACAAATTGTTAAAAGTTAGGACTGTCCCACCAAAAGCTGGACGTCTGGTCACCTTAAATATATCCTCAAGGTCCTGGGCTCAAGGGGAAAGGTCATATTCACCTGTGTCCTTGAGACCAGTCAGACCACCTGCCCTCAAAGCCTACCCACAAAGCCCAGGGAAGTTACTAGGTTACAATCTAGTTACAATCTAGGCCCCGAGTATGTCAAGGAAGAAACATACAGACAACAGAAATGCCTGCAGCTTGGCTGAGGCCTACACAGGGCAGCTAGGACAGATATTCTTTTAGTTCTGCTTTTACTTCTTGCCTCAATTCTGGCTGTAATTGAGAACAAATTATAATTTACCCCATAAAAGCCTTCCTGTTCCTTTTGTATTTATCTTTTATCCTTAAAAAAGGTAAAAAGTAAAATAAATTAAATGCTGTCTGGGGCTTATTTATAAATGTCAAATAAGAGAAATTGTTTTATTTCTTAGTGAATAATCTTCCATGTATTTCTTTAGATTCTTATAATTTTATTAATTATGCATGCATGATTTTAACATAATGAAGAACCTTAGCTTACATTTTTATTTGCTTTATTGAGTTTGGTTTTTTTCATCCTTAATACCAATCTGATATGGTTCATTGTTTAATTTGGTAACAATCTATTCCTTTGGGCTTTTATGCCCTTTAATTAAAATTACAATGAAAGCTGTATAGCTTTCACCAACCAACTGAGTTTTTATCTCATCTTAAAAAATTGTCTGAAAGCCATTATTCTTGGAATGTAATTACTCTTAAATGAATAAGATTCCAACAGTCAACCATGATTGTGAGGTTTGAAGCAACTATGCTAATAACACTTTTAGCCTTTTTAAGAAGCATAAAAGGCTCCAAGTGATGTTTGCATTTTAAATTATTTCCATTTATAAAAGACTGACAGAATGTAAAAGATTTTACTTGTAAAGAAAATCAAAATAAAGCACTATTCTTACTGAAATAAGTTTTGATGCAAAATAAGCTGCTATCTGGTATTTCCAAAAGAAGAGGAGACAAATAATAAATCTTGAAATCAGACATGATATTGGAACATTTGATTAATGAAGATTCTTTTAAAGAGTAAGTTAATAGCCCATCCTTTCACATGAATATTACTCACTTATAAAAAGATCAGTAGATAAGATCATAGCTATTAGAGAAATATATATAACAATGTGAATAGGCACAAGCAGAGAGAATATCTTCGAGTCAAGAGGGTAGAATTGAAAACTCACTCATGTGAATAATACCCTAATGTAATTTGAATCCAAACTTTTAAGTATTTGGTAGATAAGTGTGAGTTATTTCTCATTAACTTCAGCAAACAGAACAATGATAGTGCAATGGTGAGCACTCTGGACTCTGAATCCAGAGCAATAGACATGGTTTACTGATCTTGAACTAGTAAGTCACTTTAGTGCCATTATACTAGCTACATAATTAAAATGATTAAAGCAGCGGTTCTCAATCTGTGGGTTGCAACCCCTTTGTAATAATGAAAATACATCCTGCATATCAGATATTTATAATACAATTCATTACAGTAGCAAAATTACAATTATGAAGCAGCAATGAAAATAATTTTATGGTTGGGGGTCACCACAATATGAGGAACTGTATTAAAAGGTCACAGCATCACAAGGCATTAAGAAGGTTGAGAGCCACTGGTCTAAAGAATAATTTGGCTTGGAGCCTGCAGTTCAGTGATTAGGGCCACAGACCCTGGCCACAGACACCAGAGCTGGCAGGTTTGAACCTGGCCCAGGCCTGCTAAACAATAATGACAACTACCACCAAAAAAAAAAAAAAAAAAGTCAGGTATTGTGGTGGGCACCTGTAGTCCCAGCTACTTGGGAGGCTGAAGCAAGAGAATCACTGAGCCCAAGAGTTTGAAGTTGCTGTGCGCTGTGACATCACAGCACTCTACTGAGGGCGACAAAGTAAGACTCTGTCTCAAAAACAAAAGAAAGACAGAAAAGGAAGAAAGGAAGAGAAAGAAAGAAAGACAGACTAATATCATACATTGATAGTTGATAAGCATACCTTTTAAAATCATGCAAGTCTTCTTAGCAATCGTACAAAAAATGAATGAAAAGAAAAATATAAAATAATAATTGTCATTAGAAAAGAAACATAAAAGTATACTGACTTTTGAAAGCACATGCAGTGAGAATAAGATGGAGTCAGTCAGGCTGGGGAGATGACGCAGCTGGTCTGGCCTGTTAGGTCATACGTGACCTTCACCTCAGGTCTCCCATTCTTGTGTTTTGTAAGTTCAGCTTTAACCTAAAAGTGTGTATCTTGAATGTTTAGGGCAAATTGATTTAGGAGATTAAATTTTGAATTGGAATGTTGTTTTGGGTCATGGGTAATCCTGAGTATTGTTTATTATGGATCATGGCTTATGTTAATTATTGTTGTTTAAGATAAAGATTAACATGATTTTTACTTTGAACTTTTATGTTTAAAACTGTGATTTTGGGCTCAATGTTTGTAGCTCAGGTGACTAGGGCGCCAGCCACATACACCAGAGGTGACAGGTTCAAATCCAGCCAAGCCAAAAAATAGCTGGGCATTGTGGCGGGTGGCTTGTAGTCCCAGCTACATGGGAGGCTGAGGCAAGAGAATTGCTTGGGCCCAGGAGTTTGAGGTTGCTGTGAACTGTAACACCACAGCACTCTACCCAGGGCAATACAATCTGAATCCCATTATAAGAAAATTATATGTTTAATCTATTTCAGTTGTCTTTACACATTCAAAAAACCTCATATGATCCATATACAAAAAAATGATTGAAAATATCATTTATAACAATTGCTTGCAGGTTGTTTATCTTAGTTTTCTTAAGGAATGAAAAACAGAAAATCTGATCTTTTGGAGAACACTGACTATATTAACTAGCTTCATTGCCTCTACATCTCCAAAAAGGGTATTAGTAAAT